TGCTTTGTGCCAAAGATAGATGCATTTTACAGAATACCATCTGGGCATCACAGAAGTATGATATTAGTTCATTAAAATCAGATAAAATTGGGTAAGGACAGAATGCCAGCAATTATGTGACCAGCAAATAAATAGAAGTCCATGGTATTCTATAGATATCCCAAAGTATTAATTATAACAGGAGTAGTTAAATTCTTTAGAGCAGTTAAGTTCTTTGGCTCTGGAAGCACAACAGTTTTTAATAGATGTATCACCTGGTAACCTTGGGCATTATTAAATATATGGAGACTGAAAGCATGGTAGAAGCAATGGAAAATTCTGGCCAGACTGGATAATTTGCTTTAGTCCTAGGGAGAAATCTATTAACCATTTCTTCTATGGACCAATTTGATTAGGAAGTAGGACAAGCTGCTCTTTCATTCCTTGCCCAAACCCTACTGCACTTTGTATCAATTATTTGGCTGTCTGCAGCACACAGATTAGAATAAAGAGCTTTCTTAGTGTTGTGAATGTTGTGGATTGCTGATTGGTAATTAAAGTACCGAATGAAGAAAATCAGGCCCAAATGGAAGAGGAATGAGAAAGTCTTAATTCTGTGATACAGATGTTAGAAACAGATTGTCTTGAGCAGCCTATTCAACACGGTGACATGGTGCGGAGTGTTGCCTCCCGTGTAAAACTCGAGCCGAATGCCTCAGAGATGGTTTCCTCTCCCGTGCCTTATGATGTAGCTGTATGGATATTAATTTAGTGAAATATCCTGTCTGCCAGGTGTGGGAACTAGCTGATTTTATTGTAATACCAGATCATTACTTAATTCATATGCAACAGAGTGCAGCACATGGAAAGCATTATAAATCTATTTACAATGTGGCTGGTCTGATGATAACATTGTATTAAATTCCCAGGTGAGGCAATTTAAGCAATTGCTTTGCCATGTGCACGCCATGGAAATTAAATTCTCATAGACGCTTTAGTAATAAACCAACTTCATTGTTATGCTCAGGCTGGTGTTGGGTTGTTGAATCCTCACTCTGGTACCGTATACTGTGTTTGACATGTGAAATCATAGAGAAGGCGGTACTACAGATCACAGATCTTAATTAGTTTAAGCTCAGTTAATTCGTTATGTTTCCAGTTTAGCAGTGTCTGACCAGCACCCTATTCGGTTCAGTTGGGAAATGTTAAGGCTTGGGTCAAGTAGATAGATTGCTTCAAGCCAAATTTCTAGACAAGAACTGAGCAAGTGAATCTCTTCAAACTTTTAGAAAACCTTTAAGAAAAGCACCTAATCAGTATGCAAAGGTTCTTCTCAAATACCTGGAAGTGAAAACTGCTGGAACTCAGAAATTTCCTTCATGACCAAAGCCTCACTTTTTCATTATTGGTTTTCAAATAGCGATGGAAATTGCATCTAACATTCTAAAGATAAGCATCAGTTGTTAATTTGTAATATTTCTCTCATTATATAGAATATATATGTATATATATTACATAGTTTGTAGATTTTCTGTCTTAACCATGTTTAGCTCACCTGGTGAGTTAGAAGTGAATAAGCTTTGGAAAACACACACACACACACACACACACACACACACACACACACATACACACACACCACCGAAGTGAAAGATACTCTTGTATTTTACTGTCTCTCTCTCTGTGTCTCTCTCTCTATCTCTGTGTAATACTGTCAGTTGAAACTTTTCCACCCTTATGGTGCAGACCCAAAATTGCAGTAGATTATAAACTGCATAGAGCTTCCGTCTTCTCCAGAAGCCACATATAAAGCACCAGTAGACAGTAGTAACTGACAACTAAGACTAAAAATGTTGACAATTTCTTGATTTGCCTGGTTAGCTTATGTATAGAAGTCATTAACTATTTATAAAATGCATTATGAATTGGGTTCCTTCAAACTGTAGCTGAGTATGTGACATTTCCAGCTCAAATTCTCTTGCTTGCATTTGGCTAAAGTACAGGTTTCATGCAGTTAATAGAAAAGTAAAAATATTTTTTTCACATTCAGTTGATATTTGTTTCATTAACTTTGTATCCTCCAAATCAAAGTATGATATAGTACTAAGTAATGCAGAGAGTTTTTAAAATTCCATAGAAGGTAAAATAACTTGATATTTTAGGGGGAAATTATTCATAAAATAAACAGTTATTGAAAGGATTTTGCCCTTTTTTGGTATTCAGTTAGTTTAGTAATGTCCCGCAGGCTAAATGATGGTTGATTTCAATCAGCTTAATGTTTCAAATCATAACAAATTAGTGGGAAATACCAATTCAAGCATTTAAATATAATTATTAATAAAACAAAGCTTTTAAAAAACTTTCTGTAAAATGATACTTGAGTGTAAAGAGTTAAATTTGCAGCATTAGTTGTATCATTTTTTGCAAAGAACTATTTCTGCTATGTAAATGAGTGATCATTTTTATTCTTTCAGTGAACGTTTTGAAAATGCAGCACATTGTTTCTGTAATTATATCCAAGAATTTTCCAAATAACTTGTTTTTAACTATCTCAATGGTAAAGGGTGACATTTCCAGGGACCACCCTTCAACGGAACATGTGCAGTCTTAATTGCCGCCTTGCAAAAGCCATCGATTCTAGCCAAAGCAAGATTAGATATTTAGGGATCCATGTCTGTAATTTACTTTTTCCTTTGAAGGATAATAAATCAAAAGAAGAATATAATGTGATTGAACAATCTATGCCAATTTGTTGGTATTTTGGTGAAAAAAGGGGAAAACAAAAACAATCTCCATATGATATTCTTGCATACTGTGGAATGTTTTAGTCCCCCATAGTGATGAAATGAATAATTAAAACGACTGCTCTGATACCACAGCCCGTTTAAAGGTTCTCATTTCCTTTAATGCTGTGAAATACTTTCGCCGAGTATCAGTAAATGGGTGAAAGAAAAGTTTGGCTTAAACTAAATATTGTGGGAAGATCATGAAGTGGGCTGTCTGGTAATTTTGGAATTTTCAATATGGTTCTGTATAGAGTGAATAGAAATAGCTAATTAGTCGAAGCTTCTATAAGCACAATAAGAGAATCAGGCTTTTTTGTTCTGGCAAAAAAGTCTCATTTGTTCAGAAATGAGTAAGTTGGGACACTCCTGAATTGTTAAGACATTTGATACAGATGTCATTACTGACCTCAGGCTAATGACTTAACTTTTCAGCTTTGTCTTCACTGCAGCATTGTTGGCTTTATTTATCTGCTTGCAGACTTAATGGATCTGCTTAGGTATAAGTTACACATGTATAGAAAGCAAGGGGGCTTTGGGTAGGGAATTAGTGGTAGGGGATACTGCCATTTCCTTTCTTCTCAACTGCTTTACAATTTGAGCTCTTTCCTGAGCATATCCATAGGGTAATAAAAGGGGTGAAAATTTTATATGGTAGAATGAGTGCTATGGATGCTAAGGACTCCAGGGTTCTAGTGAAGTCTGTTTAAATAGGGCTACCCTTAGAATTCTATGAGGCTGATAGGTTTGGTTTTTTCCCCCCTGATAAAGGAATGGCTCAACTAACTTATTTTTATTTATGCTAAATTCAGTCTGTTTCAACTGGATTCTGCCCTAGAGTTAAGCCCTCATGCCCTAAGGCTTCTGTTCTATGTAATGAGCTAAATTCTCTCTTATGTGCTATCTTTGGGAGAAATGAAAAAATAGTCCTTGAAGTAATTTCTTATGTTTTGCTCTTCAGATCAGGAGCCCCAGTTGAGGAGGGCTGCAGTTTTAAATGGATTTAAAGTCCACTGGCTTTCTGTGGAAAGTCCTCTTAAGGTCTAATATAATTTTGCATTTATGATGGTATGATTTTTATGTTGCAAAGGAGTGTAATTCACTGGTTTAAAATGCCTAAGTAAAAATCATGTTGATTTCTGCTTACAAACTCTAGCTAGTTCTTTGAACTTTTTCATTTTAAGTAAGAATATTTAAGCCTTAAACTGTGGGCTGCTAGGGAGAGAAGTTACTATTTCTCAGGTGCTGGTTTTTAATAGACTGTTTTTGCTTAGTTAGTTCAGAAGCAGAAAAGGGAGCAAAGGTAACTGGTAAATCTGCATTTGAATCTGAACTGGTGATATTGAAGTAGGCCATGAGGGTCACACTTCAGTGTCCCAATTACTTTTCAAAGCTCTTTTAGCTTTTTGAAATCTGTGTCCATTCAGAAAAGTTATGACTCACTCACATCCCTACCCCTCTGGCTTCACAGGTAAAGGCAGTTTTCTTAGAAAACAAAATTTCTTTGTTTATTGGGATTGTGAAAAGTTGATTTGTAGTTAGTACTTGTCTTTATTTGCTGGGATTGGGAAATTTAATATACACACAACTTTTCCTTAGGTCATTATTTATAGAGGACTTTAAGGTATTTAAATTATACTTTAGAAATGGTATGGGCTTTTAAATTCTTTTTCTGGTTACAATAATGAAGAAAACCGAGATGTGCTATTTCCCCTATATTCCAATGTATAAATCAAGATAAAGTATCCTGGAATTGAATTTTTAGAAGATCTATATTGTAAAGTTAGTTTCATGCCACTGCTTTAAAGATCTCCATAAACTCTTGTTTTAATTAGATCTGATGAGTTTTATTCATAAAGTTGTCACATAGCTATATTGCTTATTTTAGAAACCTTATTGTTATTATTATTATTATTATTATTATTATTATTATTATTTTAATGACAGTGTATGTAATGATATGCCTGTTGTGGACCCACTTGTGAATATCCACAGAGTTCTTACAACATTGCAGAATTTTCTTTCACCGGGGCTTTGAAAAATTTAGGATTTTCTATTAAACTTCTCAAGTCCAAGAACTTTACCCAACTTTGATTTGCAGATTTGAGCAAGTAGGTTTCCATTAGGGGGCTCTCGAGGGTTGAGATGATGAGCCTTGATACCAACGGATGCTTCCAAGCCTTCACTTTGCTAACGTTTCTCTCCCGCTCTCCCTTTTTGTTTTGTTTTGTTTTATAGAAAAGGTCACGGATCGCCTACAGTGACGAAGTCCGGAATGAGCTCCTAGGGGATGACGGGAATTCCTCTGAGAACCAGGTAGAATGCTAATCAGGAAGGCCCGGTGGGTGGCTGCAGGGGGAAGGAGGTCACTGGCACGCTGGGCGCTCAAGCTGCTCCCTTCACCGTATTAGCAGCAACTCATGTGGAAGCGATACTGTTTAATGCAAAGCTGGAGTCTTAATCAACTTCAAAATGTTTCTTGGAGATCTTACATTTAACCCTTTACCTTGAGATCACTGTCTGCTATCTTAAAAAAAAATCTTTTCTTCTCTTTTCTTTATTATTTAGTACTTAAGGAATAACTTGAGACACACTGTTTGCAGACAAAGCCAAGGTCTTCACCTCAAACACATGTAAAAGGAATAAAAAAAGTACATAATACAGCTTTGATAATAATGCAGTATAATTAAATCAACACTTGCAACAAAACAAATGAAAATAAGCTTTTAAAATTCAGCAGGGCAGGCAGCTCGGGCTGCTATTGTGTAGCTTCTTAAAAATACATTCACCAAATGCAAATTGTAAGCACAGTGTGGAATTTGGACGTTCATATAGTGGCTCACCCCCCTATCAAATAATAGTGATAATAATAAATAATAATAAAAATTGTTTGCATTTTAAGATTGGCATAGGTAGAAAATAAGGCAATTCTTTCTTAAAAGGGCCTTCCAACTTGGCTGTCAGTTCTCATTAGTCAGTTCTCCATAGTGTCATGAGCCTAATTAATGTCCCACTTCTTTCTTGGAGTTAATACAGCAGAATTCATTAATTTATGTAGATCATATATATTACTAAAATATATATACATACTTCTGTATGTATGTGTGCATCAAGAACCTCAGAGTAGAGAAGACTTAAATGTCTGACAACCATAGTAGGTGATTCTCCTTGACACTTTCAAAGAAAATAAATGATAGGAAACTTTAGAAGCAAGAGCTGAACTTGTTAGTAAATGTTCCTTTGGCAAGTGTTGCAAAGGGTTTGTTTCTGGTTATGTGAAGATGAAAATGAATTATTCATTGAGTTAACCAAAATTTTAATAAGATATTTGGGAACACATTATTTAAAAGTGCATAATTTGAGATATCCTTTCAAATGGATTATGTTCAAATAGATTATTTGAAACCAAATTTCAAATAGATTATTACAGGTATGTCTGCATAGGCTGAAACTATTGCTATCTACTATAATGTTAATGTAGCAAATAGGGATGTTGCTTATGTGATTAAGGCCCCCACAACTGGTTGCCTCCCCCCTTCCAAATAGGAGAGAAGAATCATTGAGTTGATTGTTTGTTTTTGCAAAGACCTCATTTCTTCCACTGTTTGGATGTTATCAGCTTGCGTTCAGAAATGTAAACATGTTAAGATTTGACTTGGGATTTCTGCTTTTTTGATTGAACTATGAGAATAGCTAAGAAAGAAATATAAAAAAAAAGAATGCATCCAACATAACAGGGTGATTTGATAAAGAGGCTTACTTAGAATAGTTTAAATAATTTCGGGATGAGAGGGAAAATCTTTACTCCTTATTTTAAGTCAGATTTAGATTTCTCAGACCTCCTGAACAAATGAATCATGATTTTATTTTCTATCTCTACTGCCAAAATAGCAGTATCCTTTCAGCAAAAAAAAAAAAAAAAGAAAGTGAATTCATAGTTTCCTTATCACTTCTTTGAAAAGCTGAAGATCTTTCACTCATTTGAAACTACTGCCTAATATGAGGCAATAAGAGGGAAAGGGTTGTACCTGTCTAAGTCAGACTCCTTTATTGTAATGGATGTTGTAGTAAAATGACAGGTATCCTTCTTAGAAAAAAAAAATATATATATACACAAAGCATGTTCAGTCCTCTCAATGGACATTTTATATGCCTAAAACATTTGCCTTATATTCATACGAGTGTGGTATTTCTGCCTAAAGAAAAATATTCCACCAATATGGATTGAGTTCATATTTTCTGAATTTTTCAAATTATATTCCTGTCACTTTAAAGTGATTACACAGAGATTTCCCCCAGACTCGCATAAATCAAACTTATAAATTCTGAAGTGCTTGGAGAACCTGAAGTTTAGTTGTAAGGAGCTGTCACTTCAATAAATAGAGTATGATAAATTATAGTCATGAGACTATATAACTGTTAGATTATTACCTATATGAACTTTTCAGTCTAAAATTTGAATTAGGTTTGAAAGTTCAAAGTACCTACATTTAACTTTTTGGATGTCTTGTAACCAGATATAGCAGATTGTTCATATCATAGTAAAATTGTCAGTTTTTCTTCAGGTTCTATATCATGATAGAGGAATTAAAATCCCTCAAAGCTAAAACACATCCTTAACTAGCAATGGTCATGTAAAAATAACTTTTCATTCCTTATCAGTATTCATTTAAACCTGAGGGGGAAAAAACTGTCTTTTCTTTAGAGGAAGAAAAAGATTTTGCATTGACTCTTCCTCTTGAGTTCTGTGGCTGTGTGATTGAACAGTGAGTAGTTGTTCTGAGGAGGCTACTTTTAATTTACAGAAAGAAATAATTTTGACCCACGAATACATTTATTTTAAAGTCAGGTGATAAGATGCTTTTCAAGACTTCTTGACTAAGTAATAATAACAATAAACTTTTAATATGAAGGAAAACCTGAGTGCAAGCCAAAATGAGATGAAAATAGCAACATATTTTAATCGAAATTAGATTACGTCTCAGTTAAAATTATAGATCAGAAAATGAAGGTGATAGAGAATAAATAGCAGTGGTACAAATAAATAAACTAAATACCATTTGATTATTTTTAGTATATATAGCTTCCTTATGGTGTGCTCTTTGAGGATATTTAGATAAATGTAAATGCTATAGCTAGTGCCATAGTTATTATTTTTCATTCTTCCTATAATACATTTTCATAGAGGTATATAACCTAGTTGCTAATATACATCAATATCTTCAAACTAACTATAAAATATATACATTTATTTTATATGTGAGCATTTCTGTCATTAGATGTCAAAAATTCTAAAACTATACAATTTTTAAAAAAATGCATCTCAAAAATCTTTTATACCTAACATGTTTCATTAAATTCTAAACTGTTCTGTATAAGTTAAAATTAATTTCTGATGCATATCTACTTTTATATAATCAAATACAGCTTATCCCTGACTTACAAAGAAGGGACACAATTACTGTTGGGTCAGCAGCTTTCTAAGTACTATTGTCTTAGGCTTTATCATTCTATTTTTTTAAAAAGTATTCTGTTTTTATTCCATATGTCAACATTTTAACTTTTTTTTTTTGAGTTGAGTTCTTGAAATGTAGTGATGCTTAGAATTAACTTAATAGTTGTTAACTCATTCAATTTTCTGAAAATTTTTCTCAGAGAGGGAAAAAAATTTTTCAGAATTAAATCCCCTACGTAGTGGAGTATCCTAATGGGGCAAATAAAAATTCACCCCTTCTGCTTTTGAACCCTAATCGTCTCTCAGTTCCCATCTGCAGAATTATATTGACCAGTGAATGCATTTGAGTGAATGAAATTCGAGGAAATCCCAAACAGAAGGTTCAAAAGTGAACACAAAGAGTAAGACATCTCTAAACGTGCTGATTTTTTTTTTTTGGTGGTAAAGCAATATTCAGTGGATATGATTGCTTAATTTTTTAATACAAGGTTCTCTTAAGTTCCGACCTGGGCTTGCTGTGCATAAAGTGTGTCAAACTTCAGCCACGGACCAGGGGGTGAAGTCGGTCAATTTAATTCCCCAAGATCTAAAGAAGGTCGGTATCATTTCATACAGCCCTGGCAGAGCAGATCATTACCAGGCACAAATCTGTTCGTTACGTGCCGAGGGTTTATAGCAAAATAAATAGACTGTCATCATAAGTTCAGAAAATTGTGTGTTCGACCCACGATAATGTGTAAAGGGCGTTTAATAGAGTTCAGCATTTATTCGTTATCTGTATGCGGACAGAGACGGCAGTAGCGTTATCAGCTTTTAAAAAAAAATTCGGGCGTTCTCGAGGTCACGTGACGCGCCACCCACGCGTGCGCTTGTGTGCACGCACAGACACACACACACACACACACACACACACACGCACACTCAGGCGCGCGCACAGGAGCCCGCACATGCTCTGCAGTGCAGTTTTGATGCGAGACACAGCAGAAGGCTTAACCACAAGAGATTCCACTGGTTCAAACCAGCGTAAACCAGATTCTTTTTCCCCCTGCCCACAAAGGAACAGATTACCTCTTGTATCAAATTCTGCATTTGGGGAGTGGGGACTGAAGCGGGGGGGACCGGGCTGGGGCTGGGGTGCAAAGAAGGATTTGGGGGCGGGTGCAAAAATCTTTGTTTAAAAAAAAATGTTGATTATCATAACATGGTGGCATTGGGCACCCTTTCATGTCACCTACGATGGAGCGCGGAACTTGACAAGATATGAAACCACTATTTTCAGGCTACTCTGAGCATTGTTCATTTTCAAAAATAGACCATCTTTTGTTTACTAGAATGAATAACTCTCGGCCTAACTTAGGGGGAAGGAAAAAAAAACACACACACACACATAGAAGATAAAGATTAAAAACCCTCCCATTACCTAGCTTAGCGACAAATCCGGTGTGGAGCTTGGAGCCAGCCATGCAGCACAAACAAGATAGAACGTTTTTGTTTGGAACCTATTGAAAAAACAAATGGGCAGCATTTTTAAACGCTCATTGATTATGGCAGGGTGGCATGGCCCAAATAGTCTCTATTGCTGAGGAGTAGTTTTAAACTTTGCCCCTCTAAGTATCGTGGTCAACGGAAGAATGGTGCCCCCAGAAAGAAAGGATCGCTGTGCGTCCACCCCCAGATCGGCTTTCTGAGAACTGATGGTGTCCCCTTTCCTCCCATGTTTGGATAGCAAAGAGAAAGATCCCAACGTGTGACAGGCCAGGTATTTTAGTTTTAAAATTGTCCTCTTTCTAAGGGAAAAAAAAAATATTAGCAACTTTGCATACGAAACGATGGGATATTTTGCTCAAGCGTATTGGATGGTTGCTGAGAGAAAGAGCGTACTTACCAGTCATCAGAACTCCTTGGATATTTCGGAAGGATGATGTTGGAAGTTTCATTTTCACTAAATGCACTGGGAGGTGCAACAGCTTCTGTGCTTTTTAAATAAAGGAATCATGAACTTTGTGAAATTTCATTCTTTTGTACTTGAGATAGCTTTCATATAACAAATGAAATAACAGAATAAGCTGGAATGCACACGGCCTTGCTTGAATTGGAGACAAAACCAGCGTTTAAGCATTGAGAACTCCGGACTGTAGTAAACATGATACTTTGAGAGAGGCTTAGCTTGAGCAATTCATGGCAGATTTCTCCCAAAGCAATAGTGTAATTTATTGGCTTGTATATGTCAAGTGTTATAACAGATGTTACAGATCTTTAGATGTTTAAAAATTATCCGTTGTAGACCCGAATTGCTGAGAATGCAAATTTCAGACCTAAAACATAGTTTATAGTGTCTTGGAACAAAGGTTTCAAGTTTTTTTTTTTTTTTCACTGCAGATTCTATGGTAGTTATCTCAACTCTGTAGTGATATTTGTGGTTTAAAGTTCAATACACATGCACTTACATACATGTACATAAAATGAACTTGAGATCTGATTATAGCCTTTTGCTAGGTTCTAAAGACATAGGCGGTTCGTTTTATCCCCTATATTGACGGTAGATGGAAACATGTTTTACAGAGAATTTTGACTGTAGAAAATAGCAGTATTAATGAAGTAAGAGAACATTGCTTTGAAATAATGGGCAAGATTACAAAACGAGGACAATTGGAAATGGAGAAACTTTTAAAAGTTAAATATAGTATATGATTGCAATAGTATCTTAAACAAAAGAAAATATTAATTATAAATTAATTCTTATATAAATATATTTTTAAGGTTCATGAAATGTTTTCTGATACTGAGTACTAAATACTAAACATGTTTTATTTATATTAACAATGATTTTCTCCAAGTGCTATACTATTAGTACAGTGGAATCAAATATGATGTTAACCAGCATAATAATTTTTTGGCTTAAAATAGGTTTTGTGACAAAAACATAAACTATCATTTTCATTTGGAGGTAAATCGTAAATCAGTTGTCAAGATTCAAAATAGAGAAACATCCTGTAAACTTGTATATACAAAACCTCTTTAGTGGTACATTTTTAGAAGAGAGGAACAGTAAACTTGTTTTCTTTATAATATAGACTTCTATGAAGTCATTCCCCTTTATTTCATGATGGTGTCTTAGATGTACTTTAAAAGAGAATTTCACACTATTCTCTTTGTTTAATGTGACAGTGTGAGAAAGTGATCTTTATTCGTTCAAAAAAACCTGCATGTAGTAGATGTTTAGGTTCTTTTAATGTGTTTGTCTCTGATTTTTAAATGCTAAACATGTAAACAGATAAATTGTCAATGTTAATTCTGTATCCTGTCACACAACTGATCTTTCTTTCCTGCCATTTCTTTCCTTTTTATCTTTTTTTTTTGTGCATTCATGTTGCAGTTGATAAAATTACGTGAAGAGGTGAGTACTTCTAGCTTGCTTTAAAAAAAAAATCTGCTCTTCCCTATAAAATTGAGTTTCTAAATTGGAACTGAGATCTTTGGATTCATATATTTCCAGTGAAATCTATGCATCAAAAAAGTATTGGTTATATTGCTCAGAAAATGACCTCTGTTGATTATCTTCTTAAAAAAGCAAACACAAAAGTTCTATCCTAAAAGTGCTTATCATAGTGATCACTGTTAAGATCAAGGGGAAAATTTATATTTATTTACGAGAAAAAAGAAAAAATAAAGGAATATGTTCAAACTGTACCTGAGTATAGTTTTAATATTGACCAGCTTCAGATTTGTTTTATTTGTGTTATTTTTTTCAACGAAGTCAATATGATTTAGTTTTCCTCCCAATATTCTGATTTATTCTACTGAAACTATTTTTATATAAACTGTTTTTGTCACTCAGATTTTGAGGGTCAATATAAGGTGCCCAGAATCTATTATCCTTTTGGAGCAACTCGTATGTTTTAAATATACTACTAATCTGTGTACACAAATGTCTAAGAAGAGCCAAAACCCTCATATTTGTTAAATACTTTCTGTTTTTACGGGAAATAGCACCCAGGTGGATTATCATTTTTCCAGATTTACTTGTCTATTTCATAATGCAGCTCTGGACTTTTATTTGTGTTCCAGCAAATATTTCCCAGCAATATTATATTTTTCTCATATCAACAGGGGAATGTCTGAGTGATTCTATCGTTCTTTTTATTAGGCCAGACATAGCAAGTATAGTTTGCCATTCTTTTTCAGAGGTAGAGTACATAGAATTTTTATTTAATGACATTGAGTTTTATTTTATGTTAGGACATAGAATAATATCCATATTGCAATTTAGAAATCGAGTGATTGCTTGCAGTTGAGCTTGTGGATTATTTCTGAGTTTAGATTGACTATAGTGGTTGAGAATTATTTTCTAGATTTTTTTTTTTATTGGCATGGCCTCATTCTCTAGATGATATGGATGCTAATATAGAGGCTTGTGGATAGTGGTTTTTCAATAGCTCTTTTGAAATAAGATGCATTAGTGATGTTCTCTCAGTAAAGTAATAATGATTTATAAAGAGAAGACTGAAAATAAGCAAAACTCTTATTCACGAACATTTTTGTGTTTTAAAAAATCTTTCCTATAGTGAAGCAGATGTATATACTAGATTAATACCATCATTGTGTATTTATATGTAAGTTTTTTTCTTGAGGTAGTTGATAAATACATCGACATTGTTTTCCAGCAAGATGGAAGATGTGCCTATAGGTGTTTGCAAATGCACGTACTTAGGTGAAGAATCTGAATTTTTCCAGTGTCAATAGATTTATTTATAGTCCACTTAAAAAACCTGTGTGAAGAAATTGCACAGAGCTCTTACCCCCATCTTACTCAATGAATATAGCTAATAAACCCTTGTATCTTATTTGCAACCAGCATTTGGGACACGTTTCTTTTTGTTAAGCTGAATTTCGCAGTCTTCAGAAACTGTAATTATAAAAGTTGAAAGTATCATGTCTTTATTTTTAAAAAAAGATGTTTGTTATTATTTGACGGCTTGGTTCTTTTGTTGTGCCTCAAGCAAAAGTCAAATCTGGAATGGTTCTGGAATGCAGGTTTCCAAAACAATAACTTGTTATGAAATTGTGCTTGGGAAGAATCAAATCATCTAACAAACGGATCCAGTCCGGATATATGGATGTATCTGTGACGGGAATGTAGCGTTGATACTTATGAATAGATTACGGTGCCGGGAATGGCTAGGTTTGCTCAGACTGTTTCTCAGCCAGGATCCTCGCAGCAGTCAAACAGCGACCGTGCCCAGATTTCTCCCTTGCACCTCGTCGTAGATGATGCGAAATGGGGTTTTCAGTCGTGTTTGGAAACAGGGAGGCCCTGTCCAGCCCTCCCTCCTGATCCTCTCTGTGCAGACTCAGGCCAGGAAATGGGGCATGGTTGGAGGCCGCCGGGCAGCGCCGGGAGCTAAACTGGTGTTGGCTGTGGCGAATTCCCCTTTTGAATCCTGCCTCTCCAGCTCTCCACATTGTGCGGCTCCTCACACGAGTTGAGCTCTGTCTGAAGCTGCGGCCCAGCTTCACTTACCTGCTTTGAAAAGGGCCGAGAAGAGGGTGAGCGAATGAGTTTGGGACGGAGTGTGGGGGCAAGTTGAAAGCATCAGCCGCTACTGTAGTGTGTTTCCTTTCATTTCCCGAGACCAGGGCCATGCACAACTAAGGGAACAATGTAAATAGCACAGCTGCTACAAGAACTTGATTTTAGCCCGACGGAAGTGAAGAGGTTCCAAAACACAAAGTGGGGTCCTGCTGGAAAGCTGCTGGTAAACTGCTCGGCCTCTTGTGTGCAGATTGACTCAGATAAAACACAACTGTCCAGAGGAAGAGTTCCCTTCGTTATTTGGGAATGTGCTTGTTTCGGGTTTTTTTTTTTTAAAGCTCTTTTAGAAATTTTGCTCCCCATGATAAACCAAATACTGAATTTGGGCTCCTTTTCATGGGATATCCCAAATTATGCTTCATTGAAATGCTCCCCCCCCCATGCAATTTATTATAAAATCATCAAGCACTGCCTATTTGTAGTTTTCATCTTTTTATTTATCTGTTGTTTCTTTGAATTCAGGGATCTCACTCGGTATGGGAATGGACCAAAAATCTTTGCTCTGTTCTCCTGGATTAAAATTTAGATTTCCTCTTGATGTCACAAAGCTGCTCTCTTTTTAGAAAATTGTCAGTTTGAAAGTAAGTCCTTTGTTAAGGCAGACAACAGTATTCGGAGAAGGGAAGAACAATCCTTAGCCTGCAAACATGCACGCTGGGAGAATTAGGAGAGCTATTTTTTGACAACTGAGTAAAGTGTTTAATTTTATTTAAAAACAGTCATTAATGCCAAACACATAGCACTCCCCTGGCCTTGCTTTTCTCTGCAATAGCCCTTAGTGATTTTGTGTTTTCATGATAGAAGCTTTTCTTTTTTCTTTCTCCCATTTATTTAGTTTTGGTTTTATTTTTTATTTCTTGGGGGGGGGCGTGTGTGTGTGTGTGTGTGTGTGTGTGTGTGTGTGAGACAAGAGGGACATTTTTCTCTTAATTTCTCCACTATATATTAGATGACTCATTTATTATATAGGCTGTTGTTGCAACTTTCCTGACCTTCACATCAAGTCCCAGCTCTCTGTTCTAAGTGCATTGTTTTAATGATTCTTCACCCCCCCCCCCCTTTTTGCACAGTGCCCTTCCCCCCCCAAATTTTTTTTCAAGGAAAGCTTTGATGTGGCTTTAGCTGCCTCCAACGTCTGGCCGCATCTCAGATGTGTCACCTATGCCGGGAGGGAATAAGGAAATCACGTT